TTCCAATTTATCGACTTCCAAATCGTTCACTTTTTCGATTTGCAATTTTTCAATGTAACATTTTTTCATGTTTCGAATTTTTAGGTTCTGAACTTTTAATTTTTCGATTTTTCAATTTTTCGTTTCCCCAATTTTTCGAAATCTTGATTTTTATTTTTCATTTTTCCAGTTTTCACTTCCTGAGCGTAAGCTAAGGAACTCTGATAATCGAGTCCATCTGTCTGTCTGGTGTCTGTACCAACTTTTATTAAACAATCTCCGAAAGTACTAGACCGATTGTTGTCAAATTTGCATGTATATTAGAATTTAACACGTTACTATAGAAATTTGTAATTTAACACCCTAGGAACCGTTGGAAATAAACACATGATTGTTATTATTATTATTATACAGTTACTATTACTACTTGTTTTAATGAATGAAGGTTATCATAAATAAATGTTCGGAAGATACATTTTTTTTATTTTTCAAAGTAAGAGAATTTGTTGCGCTGTACTTCAGGGTCAAAATGGGCTTGGACCAGTTTTTAATTTTCATTTTCTCGATTTTATATCACGATTTTTCGTTTATTCAATGTCCAAATATTCAGTCTATGATTTTTCAATTCCTGGATTTTTCAGTTTTTAAATTTTTCGTTTTTTCAGTTTTTTAAGTTCTTGATTTCCAATTTCAAATTTTTCATTGTTTTCATTTTATACTTTTTTCATGTTTTCATTTATTATTATTTTCCATTGATTACTGATTAATTTTTCTATTTTTCTAATTCGAAAAGTTAAAAAATCGAAAAATTAGTAATCGAAAAACTAAAAAACCGGGAAAAATTGAAAAATACAAAACTGAAAAAACAAAAAATTGCAAAATTTAAAATATGAAAAACGAAAAATCGCAAATCAAAGAACTCACGAAACGAAAAATTGAAACACTGAAAAATTTATAATCGCGAAAAATTAATGAATCGAAAAATTGGAAAGAAGAAAAAACCAATGGAATAGAAAAGTTGGAAAACTCAAAAGCTGTAAAATTGAAAAATTATAGAATCGTCAAAATTTTAAATTCGAAAAAGTGAAAATTAAAAACTGAAAATTCAAAAAGGTGAATACCGAAAAATTGCAAATCGTAACGTTAAATAATCCAAAAATTTACACTGAAAAACAGAAAAATTGAAAAAATAAAGAAAATAAATTCCTAAACAAAAAATTGAAGATCTGAAAAATTGAAAAATCCAAAAATTGAAAAATTAAATTTTAAAAATTCCTGAAATTGCAAATCGAAAAATTGCAAAATCTAAACATTGGAACATTCAGAAGTTGGAAAAGCGAAAAACTGAAAAATTACAGAATCCAAAAGTGAAAAAATAAAAATTGAAGAGTTGAGAAACTTTAAATCGAAAAATCGAAAAATTGCATAATCGAAAAATTGCAAAATCGAAAAATTGCAAAAAAAAATAAAAAACTGAAAAATCTGGAAACGAAAAACTGCAGAAACGAAAAATTCATAAAACAAAAAATTGAAAAATAGAATAAAAAATAATGAAGCGAAATGAAAAATTGCAAATATAAAATTGAAAAATTAAAAACTGAAAACTCAAATCGAAAAATGCAAAATCTAAAAATTAAGAAATTAAAAAGTTAAATTGAGGACATGAAAAATTGAAGAATCGAAAAGCTGAGACATCCGGAAGTTGGAAAAGCGAAAAATTGAAGAAAGAAAAACGGAAAATTGAAAAATTACAAATCGAACATCTGAAAAAATTGAAATTGAAAAAACAAATACATAATTATAAAATCGTAACATAGAAAAATCGAAGAATCGTTAAAATAAAGACAATAAAAAAACCGAAACGAAAAATTGCATATCGAAAATTTGAAGAAATGAAAAATTAAAGAATCGAAAAACTGAAAAATAAAAATTGAAAACTCGAAAAACTTTAAATCTAAAAATTGCAAAATACATTAATTGAAAAAAAAATGACAAACTGAAAAATCGGGAAACGAAAAAGTGAAGAAACGAAAAGTTAAAAAAATTAAAATTGAAAAAACAAACAGTTGAAAAATCCAATCGGATAATAACATAAAGAAAAGAAAAAGCAAAACAAAAAATTACTAATCGAAAATTTGATAGGGTAAAAAATTAAAGAATTAATAAACCGAAAAATTAAAAATTGAAAACTAGAGAAATTTAAATCGATAAATTGAAAAAATTAAAATTGAAAAAACAAAAAATTGAAAAATCAAATCAAATAATAAAAAATAAAGAAAATAAAAAGCGAATCGAAAAATTGCAAATCGAAAATTGAACTCGAAAAACAAATCAAAAAATTGCAAAATCTAAAGATTAGGAAATTCAAAACTTAGAAAACTGATAAGTAAACTGAAAAATTTAAACTTGAATAAACAAAAAATTGAAAAATCGAATCGAATAATAAAAAATAAAAAAATAAAAAAGCAAATCGAAAAATTGCAAAACGAAAATTGAACTCGAAAAACTCAAATAAAAATATTGCAAAATCTAAAAATTAGGAAATTCAAAACTTAGAAAAATGAAAAACTGAAAAATTTAAACTTGAAAAATCGAAAAATTGCAAAATTTATCATTGAAACATCCAAAATTTGGAAAACAGAAAAATAAAAAAAATTAAAATTTTAAAAATGAAAACTCTGAGTTGCATACCTATCGTAAATTAAGAAAATCAAAAAAAAAGGAAAAAAATTGAGGACATAAAAAATTGAAGAATTGAAAAACTGAGACATCCTGAAGTTGGAAAAGCGAAAAATTGAAGAAAGAAAAACGGAAAAGTAAAAAACTGCAAAGCCAAAAACTGAAAAAATTGAAACTGAAAAAACAAATAATTAATTATAAAATCGTAACAGAAAAATTGAAGAATTGTAAAAATAAAGACAACAAAAATCAGAAACGAAAAATTGCAAATCGAAGAGTTGAAGAAATGAAAAATTAAAGAATCGAAAAACTGAAAAAATAAAAATTGGAAACTCGAGTAACTTTAAATCTAAAAATTGAAAAAAAAATGAAACACTGAAAAATGTGGAAACGAAAACCTGAAGAAACGAAAAATTCATAAAACAAAAAATTGAAAAATAGAATAAAAAATAAAGAGCGAAATGAAAAATTGCAAATCTAAAATTGAAAAACTAAAAATTGAAAACTCAAATCGAAAAATGCAAAATCTAAAAATTAAAAAATTCAAAAGTTAGATAATTGAAAAACTGGAAAATTTAAGCTTGAAAAATCGAAAAATCGCAAATTCTATCGGTGGAGCATCCAAAAGTTAGAAAACGGAAAAATAAAAAAATTAAATTTTTAAAATGAAAACTCAAAGAGTTAATTAAGAAAATCAGAAACAGAAAAGAATAAAATTGAGGACATGAAAAATTGAAGAATCGAAAAACTGAGACATCCGGAAGTTGGAAAAGTGAAAAATTGACGAAAGAAAAACGGAAAATTGAAAAATTGTAAATAGAAATCTGAAAAAATTGGAATTGAAAAATTGTAAATCGAAATCTGAAAAAATTGGAATTGAAAAAACCAAAAAATAATTATAAAATCGTAACAGAAAAATCGAAGAATTGTAAAAATAAAGACAATAAAAACCGAAACGAAAAATTGCAAATCGAAAAGTTGAAGAAATGAAAAATTAAAAAATCGAAAAACTGAAAAAATGAAAATTGGAAACTCGAGAAACTTCAAATCTAATAATTGCAAAATATATAAATTGAAAAAAAATGAAAAACTAAAAAATCGGGAAACGAAAAAGTGAAGAAACGAAAAACTAAAAAAATTAAAATTGAAAAATCAAACAATTAAAAAATACAACCGGATAATAAAAAATAAAGAAAAGAAGAAACCAAAACGAAAAATTGCAAATCAAAAATTTGATGAGGTAAAAAATTAAAGAATCAATAAACCGAAAAATCAAAAATTGAAAACTCTAATCGAATAATAAAAAATAAAGAAAATAAAAAAGCGAATCGAAAAATTGCAAATTGAAAATTGAACTCGAAAAACTCAAATCAAAAAATTGCAGAATCTAAAGATTAGGAAATTCAAAACTTTGAAAACTGAAAAACTGAAAAATTTAAACTTGAAAAATCGAAAAATTGCAAAATCTATCAATTGAAACATTCAAAAGTTGGAAAAAGGAAACCAAAAAATTTAAAAATTTGAAAATGAAAACTCGAAGAGTTGCATATCATAGAAATAAAATTGAAGAAATGAAAAAAAATCAAAAATTGAAAAAGTGGAAGTCGAAAAATTGAAGGTTTAAAAATTGAGACACTTAAAAATTAACAAAGTGCAAAAACGAAACAACGAAATATTGTAAAATCGAATATTGTACTTTAAAAAAATCGGAAAATTGGAAAATTGAGAAACCCAAAAATTGCACCAAAAATCTAAAAATGTAAAATCGAGGAATTGAAAAATCGAAAATTGAATAATTCAAGTCAAAAAAGCTGCGGGAGTGTTATTTACGCCAGCTTCAGGCTACTTATAAAGTAGTTTTGAAGAATCTTAGGGATCCGTTGTCTGGCTTTATGAAGTAATCTGAAAAAATTTCTTGAATTCCTTGCGTTTTGTTTTTGAATTGGTTTGAAGTAGTTAGTTTGAAGGATCTCGGAGAATTGAAGAAAAAAAAAACAATTGAAAATGTCGAAAAATTGAAGGAACGAAAAATGAAAAATATTGAAATAGGAAAAGCAAATACTTGTTAAATCGTAACCTAGAAAAATGGAAAAATTGTAAAAATAAAGAAAATAAAAGACCGAAACGAAAAATTGCAAATACAAAATTTGAAAAAATGAAAAATCAAATAATCGAAAGACTGAAAAATTAAAAATTGAAAACTCGAGAAATTTTAAATCGAAAAACAGTAAACTCTGAAAGTTGACAGAACAAAAAAAAAATGAAAAATTTGCACCACCGGTTTTTACTTTATAGAGGTTAGTAGAAAATAAAAATCACAAAAAGTTGTATAATGATATAAGATGGCGTACAGTCAACAGGGCGATAAAGTGTTCTGCTTCGTTTGTGGTAACCCAGAAAAGAATTTATTGTAGTGATTGCAGTGTTTGGTCACATCTAAGTTGTGCAGATAAAAAAAAGTGCTGTGAACAAAATGTTCAAACATCTGATAACGATACTCTACCTAACCAAGAAAACCTGGTCCAAACTATCAATTCCTTATCGGCTATCGTCAATGATATGAAAAAGGTAATCGAAGAGTTGGTCACAGAAAACAAAAAATTGAGAGAGGAGATCGAATATGTGAAATCTCGAAAACAACAAACAGGGGAATCTGGTCCAGAAGTAGAGGAGGCAGCTGTAGAAGAGGCTGTTGAGCGAATACACCGGTCTCACAATGTTATTATAAGAGGTGTTCCGGAGTACCAAGGAGAGGTAGCTCAACAAAAACAAGCAGACGAGGAAATCGTTATGAATCTCATAAAGACGGCAATTCCCAGTGATTTGGGCCAAAGTGTAGGTACTTAATCTCACCCGTTTAGGGAAACTTATCCCAAATCGTTGTAGAATTATTAAAGTCGAATTTAATAATCCAAATATAGTTAAAAAGCTAATACGGCACCGTTTCGGTAACAACATTTTCTTCAATACTGATCTAACTCGGCTCCAACAGAATAGGGCTTTTGCTGTTCGTAAGGAATTTAAAAGGCGTCGTGACAATGGTGAAAATAATATTCGATTAAGATACTACAATGGCATGCCGAAAATTATTGAAACAAAAAACGAATGAACATCCAACAGACATCCAATTCATCGTCATCTATTAATTATAACATACTCAATACTACATCAACATATACACTAATTTACCAAAATGTGCGTGGTTTGAATTCTAAAGTGCAAGAATTTTATAACAAGTGCTGTGACATAGAAGCAGATATATTGTTACTGACCGAAACATGGCTTCATGAAAATGTTTTTTCAGCTGAACTTTTTCCTCAACATTTTGAAATCTTTCGATGTGACAGAAATAAGAGAAGAGGTGGTGGCGTACTAGCGGCAGTCAAAATTGGTTTTGTAGCTGAACGACTAAACCTTATTTCCCCGGTACCTGAGATAGATCTTATTGGTATCAAAGTTCAAGGTAATAGTACTTTCATTTTCGTTGTGATATACATTCCGCCAGCATTACATGTTGATGCATACACTCAAATCTTTGAGTATATTGAAAGTGCCATTGATTTTTCAAATCCGGTTGTTATTGTAGGCGATTTTAATATACCTGAGTTAGTAGATTGTGCGTCTGGCCGGAACTCGTCACACATCTTCAATATTTATTCTCACTTCATTTCGATGAATAACTTGAAACAACATAATTCAGTTTTAAACTCCAACAACAGAATCTTGGACATAGTTTTGACAACTGATGAAGTCTCAGCTGAAGTAGCAAATAGCAATTTTCCATTAGTTCGTGAAGATGCTCACCACCCTTGCTTGGACATCAATTTATTTATCAAAGACCAATCAAGTAATCCATTTCCAAGAACATCGAACACAGTAAAATTTAATTTTCGTAAAGCAGATTTAGTAAGATTGTATAATGCCTTTATTGAAACTGACTGGTCAGAAGTTTTAGACACAGTGGATGTTGAGACAGCATGTTCTACATTTTATGATATCAATTTTAAATTATTAAATGTTTATGTTCCGAAGTGTTCGTCATCAGCGAAGACATATTACCCTCCCTGGTTCACAAAAACGATTATATCCAGGATTAAAGAAAAACACAGGCTATGGAATCTCTATAGGAAAAGTAAATTGTTAACTTACTTGGATAGAATAAGAATTCTAAAATGCGACATACGACGTAATATTCGGCAAGCTTATAAAGTCTTCATCAGTGAGGCTGAAAATTCACTTCATAATGACCCAAAGAAGTTTTGGTCATTCGTAAATAAAAGAAGGAAAACTACTTGTGTTCCCAGTTGCATGACAGCTGGTGATGGTGTTATAATATCTAATCCGCAAGACATAGTGAACGCATTTGCATCACAATTCGCAAGTGTTTACACCAATGACAACCATAAACCCTGTGTTGCATCAAGTTGTAATAAAACTAACTGTGAATACTGCGGAAGCTGCCGATGCTCTTTAGTAAGTGATAATCCTATTTGTGATAATTCCATCTGTGATAATTCTGTCTGTGATAACAATCTCATATTCAACCTGCCTGTGATTAATGATTGTGATATTTTAAAAGCTACGAAAAAAATTAAACCAAATTTCGTTTGTGGTCCAGATGATATACCGGCATTCTTAGTGATTGATTGTCTTCAGTATTTGTTAAAACCTTTATGTCATATAACCAACTTAATTTTAAAGTCGTCTATTTATCCACAAATGTGGAAAGTGTCTCGTGTATTTCCTGTATTTAAAGCTGGTGACAAAGCTAACATTGTAAATTACAGACCGATAGCACTACTTATATCGAACTATTCTAAATTATTCGAATGTATTATGTCAGACTTCCTGTATACCCACTGTATTTCAAAAATTGCCTTAGAACAGCATGGATTTATAAAAGGAAGATCCACTCTTACCAATTTATGTGAATTCACTGAATACGTATCCTTAGCTTTAGATAATCGCTTTCAAGTTGATGCCATATACACTGATTTATCCAAAGCTTTTGATAGGGTAGATCATTGTATTTTATTAAAAAAACTTGATACATTAGGAATATGTCATCAGCTATTAATGATTTTTAGAAATCTCCTGTATAGTAGGGAACAATTTGTTGAAATTCACGGAGTCAAGTCAACATTCTTTCCTGTTAACAGCGGAGTTACTCAAGGCTCAAACCTAGGCCCCCCTGTTGTTTACTGTTTTTTTCAATGATGTCCTAAATGTTATTAGTTGTAGAGTGTTTATATATGCCGATGATTTAAAAATAGCTAAAGTAATAAAAACGAACAGAGATTGTTTAGTTTTACAAGATAATGTAGATAAATTAGCGCTGTGGTGTGAACAGAAAAGTTAAGCCTTAATAAAAAAAAATGTAGAAAAATTACATTCTCCAGGAAAGACACTAATTTTAACAATATTGCTTGTTTTGTATTTTTGCAGAAATTGGTGCGTGGTGATATATTCTGTCCAGCGTTCTGGATTCTCTCTGGATTCTTAATTTATGGGGGCTGCCCGTAGCCAGCCGGCACTTAGGCCTCGCCTTTGGGCCCATTGTACCTTCCCCAAGTCCATATCAGGGTGTTTTCCCGCTCCTCTACTCGTCAAGCCATCCAACTGCTTGAATGTACTTGAGTAATGCAGAGGGTGGAAACTCCCTGATATTTGCCATACTAGGCCAGATGTCCCCTAGTATGGATTCCCTGTAAGAGGCTAGGGCTGGACACTCACGAAGAATGTGCTCAGCTGTTTCCTCTTCTTCATTGCATCCACGACAGATTGGGTCTGTTACCACCCCTATCGTATGTAGATGTTTGTTAAACTGGTAATGCCCCGTAAGGAATCCTACCAGTTTACGCAGTTTGACCCTTGAAAGTGAGAGATAAAATTTCGTCAACTTACGGTCTGGTGTCGCCATACAAGCTCTACTATGCCGACAGCTGCTCAACTTCACCCATATCTGCTCATGGCGTCTCTGGGTATATTGCTTTACGAGTTCGTTCGAGAGGGCGACCGAAGGCGTGATTGCCGGTTCGGGTCCCCAGAAGGGCATGCGCGCGGCTCGCTTCGCCATCTCATCTGCCCTCTCGTTTCCTTCGTTGCCACTGTGTCCTTTGATCCAACAAAGTTCCACACTATTCCTCTGCGTTACATACTTTAGCGTTTGTCTGCAGTCCCAAACCAGCCCGGATCGAACCATACAGCTGTCCAGGGCTAGTAGTGCAGACTTGCTGTCAGTAAGTATGCGTATTGATTTGTTGTCGATTTCACGTTCAGCAATGATTCTAGCTCCCAGCATTATTCCCATCAGTTCGGTTTGTAAGACAGACGTGTGGGTGCCGAGAGGTACACTGATTTGTGCGTTCAGTTGCTCGGAGTAGATGCCGGCTCCTGAACCACTATCTGTTTTGGCACCATCGACATAGATATCTATGTCGGCTCGTCCTTTTGAATTATCATTCATTGATATTCTATATGTCTTCTCATATATTAATTTTGTGCCCATTCGGTCACACCCCATCCTTAACAAGGGTATTCTGTTGAACGCCTCCGTTAAAATCCGAGTGTGCTTCGTTGTGCGGCCTTGCTTGTTCCATACTCCGTCTTAGAGACGTCGTCATTGCCGCTTCCTCTATGTAAAGGTTAAGAGGTGCTAAGCAAAGAAGAGTCTCCAGAGCCGCTGTGGGAGTGGTCCTCATTGCTCCTGTAACACTGAGACACGCCATTCTCTGAACGTGTTCAAGTTGCAGGGCTGTTGTTTTTTGTCTGGCTCTGGGCCACCAAACTAAAGCTCCATAGCACAGCATCGGTCTGACTATTGCCGTGTAGATCCAGAGGGCGATCTTGGGATTTAAACCCCACGACCTTCCCACCACCCTACGGCATTGCCAAAGAGCCGAGCGTGCCTTTTCTACTTTATCATCCACATGCTTCTTCCAATTCAGTCGCCAGTCCAATACAACTCCCAGGTATTTGACTTCGTCCGAAAGTTGAAGCGTTGTGTTAAATATTTTTGGCATCTGTAGTGTGCCAATTTTCCTTTTCCTAGTGAACAGGATTAATTTCGTCTTTTCTCCATTAACGGAGAGGGTATGTCTGCTGCACCATTCCTCGACTATTTTTACTGCAGCTTGCATTATCTCACATAATGTATCTGCGTTTTTTCCTGTTAGCAGAATGACTAGATCGTCGGCGTATCCAATTGTGTGGTAGCCAAGATCATTGAGGCGTCGTATCAGGCTGTCAACGACAGTATCCCACAGTACAGGAGAGAGAACTCCTCCCTGAGGACATCCCCTGTTTACAACAGCCTCGATCTCAGTGCCACCTACATTAATCATTACTTCCCTGTTCCTCAGCATACCGGCCACCCACCTACTTAGGGTGGGGTCCACGTCGTGCTCTCGTAGGGCTAGCTCTATGCTTTTGAAGGTCGTTTTATCAAACGCTCCTTCAATATCCAAAAACATTCCTAAGGTGAAGAGTTTGTTCTCCATCGCCCACTCTATACGGTTTACAACTGTGTGTAGGGCCGTATCGGTGGATCTTCCTTGGATGTAGGCATGTTGGTTCGGATGTAGAGGTTGCTTGCTCAAAGCAGTCTCCCGAATCTATTTTTCTCTTAATCTTTCTAGCGTTTTCAGCAAGAATGATGTTAAGCTAATTGGTCTGTAGGATTTAGCCAAGGTGTAATCTTGTCGTCCTGGCTTAGGTATAAAGATAACCTTTACTTTTCGCCATGCATTCGGTATGTAGCTGAAAGCCAGACACGCCCGAAGCATTGGCAACAAAATAGGGCGTAGTCTGCTCATTCCCCTCTGCAGGAGGGCGGGATAAATACCGTCAACTCCTGGAGATTTGTATGGGGAAAAACTGTCCACTGCCCACTCCAGTCTTGCCTCCGTGACTACCTTTGCAGCCAGCGTCCAGTCCTTCGGGGAAGGTTGAGTACGCACTACATCCCTTTTGGAATGGGAGGTAGTCTTTGTGCTGCCTGGAAACATGGTCTGCAGCAAAAGTTCTGCGGACTCTTCTAAGGTGGCTGTAAAGGTGCCATCTTCTTTCTTTAGGAAACCTAGTTGATGTGTGTGGTCCTTCGAGACAACTCTCTTCAGCCTTGCGGCCGAAGCAGTCGACGTTATGTCGCTGCAGAAGGATCTCCACGTTTCCCGTTTCCTCTTTCTTAATTCTTTCTTAAACTCTTTCCGGTGCTCTTTATAGGCTTCCCAGTCTTCAGTTTTCTTAGTGTTTTTTGCTCTATTGAAAAGTTTTCTTAGCCCCGATTGAAGTAGGCTGAGCCTTCGGTTCCACCATGGTGTACCTTTGCCCAGACCTTCCTTCTTTAGGGGGCAACTTTTCTCATACGCTGACATTAGAGAGTCGTTGATAATGGTCAAGGTTTTCTCTATGTCTTCTGTCGATCTGTATTCTGTTGGTATAGACTGCACGGAGGTCCCCAGTCTGTCGTCCAGTTCTTCGTTGTATAAAGCCCAGTTCGTCAGCCTAGGGTTCTTGTACGTCTTTGTCTCCATGTCTATACATTTTGATGTATACATGATCCATCTATGGTCTGACACTGACGCCTCTTTAGAGACGTGCCATCCCATTATATATTGTGAGATATCCCATGTAGCCAGTGTAATATCTATTACTGACTGACTACGTGATGTTACAAAAGTTGGTTCGCAGCCTCGGTTGAGAATCTCTAGATTTGTTGATAAAAGATATTCAGCTAGTGTTCTTCCTCTATCATTAGTGTCTTTGCTCCCCCACAACAGACAGTAGGCATTCGCATCGGCACCGATGATGAGGTTTATATTTCCGGTATCACAGTGTTCCACCAAGTTCGCCATTTCCCATGTTGGACATGGTTCCTGTGCTCCCTGTGGTAAGTACACGGATGCTATTACCAGTTGCTCTTCACCTCTTCCTATGTTACACTTAACATTTACGCAGTCACATCCCTGGAGCTGACCTGAGGTAGAAGGACGGCTTTAATTTTCCTCGGAATGTAGACGCATGTCCTTGGAGATTCTATTGTGGTACCTGAAACAACAGTGCCATTTAAATTGCTCAACCCTGCGATCCTGGATTTTACTATCCATGGTTCTTGGATTATTGCTATAGTGTTCTGCATCTTGTCTAGACGACGACACAAAACAGTCGTCGCCATGCGACAATGCTGCAGGTTAATCTGAATGAAATTTATCTGCTGCAGCGCCATCTCTGCAACCAAAAAATCCCATAATTGTCCTAGGAGACACGAGGCATATGTCTCAGGCTGGCCCGCCCCCACTGGTAGAGGCTTCACCCCCTGGGGTTTCTACCTCTTCCATAGGGGTCCGCCCTTCCTGAGCCGACGCCTCGTTCTCCTTGAGTTTCAGGTTGAAAGAGGACAGCATATAGTTGATTCTGCCCTCTCTCTCCCTGATTATCTTAGCCTCTTCCATCCCAAGACCAAACACAAAGAGGTTGCCTGGAGAGGCAGCCTCGGGTTTGGCCTCGCGATGGAAAAGAAGCCATTTTTTGACGTGGGCCCATTGGTTCTGACCCTCCAGGCGGCGAAGTACGACTCCTGCGTCCACCGGTGGTCCCGGTATCCACAGCGTCGCCCTCACGAGCCTTGGTAGCTCAGCAAAGGGGACCACGTTAAGTTGTGCGCCCTCCCACAAGGGTGTTAGGGAGCGCACTGTTTGTTGTAGCCATTTCAGGGACAACTCGTCTTCACAGGTTATCCTTAGGATTTCCCCTGTGTACTTCATGCCCCTGAAAGTGGCTGCTTGTCTACCCGATGCCAAGCACTGGTCAAGTTGCCTGTCCAGCGCTCCCATCAGGCCCTTTTGTACTATCTCCACCTGGTCAGCAGTCAGCTTACCAAGTGGATGCTGCACATCAATCACAGCTACACGGAGATGACTTGCAGCCGCCTCCCTGTAGCTCTGTTCTCTAGAGGTAGTCTCCTGCCTCCTCATCCTCTTTTGCTTTTCAGCTGCCGGAGGTGTGGAGGTTGAAGACCTCACTCTCTTCTTTGACCCTGAGGTCTTTTTCCCCGCGGGTTGTTTAGGGTTGGCTATCGTAGCCTGCCCTTTACCCTTGGGGTTTATTCCGGAGGAGGATGGACCCGGTTTCGGCGGGTCGGTATTCGCCGCCTCCGCCTGCAAACGAGCCTTCCTCCGCCTTTTTACCTCAGCCCCGCAGATTCGCTTCCTCCTAGGAGGCTGCGACCCCACATTGGCCGGGTTTTCTGTTTGAGGTGCACCCGAAGGCACTTCCCCAGTGGTTTTTTTATTATTATTATTTTCCATGATCTGGATTTTGATTTCGTCCTCCTGCTTCCCCACCCACCACGGAGTCCAACAAGGGGAGGTCGAACTTCGACGTCAGGGCTAGCAGAAGGATATAGCCCCCAGGGAAGCTCATCCTGCAGTACGCAGCCTCAACTAGTGAGGTTACTCGTGCTCAGACTACACTTCCCCCAAGGACTCACCCTGTCGGCGCTCTGACCCGACGACACAGCCGATTGATCTGAGATGGGTTAGTCTCGACCTCCCGTTTTGGTGAAAATCCAGGCCAAAGAGGCGTGTTGCCCAGCCTTGGTGACACACTGCACCAAGGGGGGCTCAACCTCCAGGATTCCTTCATCCCACCTTACGGGTCTCCACGCACGGCACAAACACGCGGGAGCTTGTCCGCGGGGCTGTTTTGACGACCCCACACCAGGGGTTTAATCCCGGGGGGGCACGTTTATTTCCAGCCCTCCTCTACTGAACCGCCTTCGCGGCCGTCTAAGCCGACAACCACCAAGGCATGTCCAGGCAAGACGAGACTCAACCCTAACCTACATATCTGGAGTCCAGCGTTACTAAATAATATTAAGTTTTGTGTTCCTCGTTTATTGTGCAGAAATCCATCCACTTTTTACTATCAAACTCCTAATTCTTATCATCACTTTAATAGCCCCTTAATTACATGTTTTAGACTTTATAATAACTGTACTTTAGACGATAGCATTGATATTTTTCACGCTAATTTTAATAAAGCATCTTTCAAAAAAAAGTTATTAGCACGATATGCACAATAATATATGTACATAATATTTGTTCTGATGTTAGATTTTTTTAAATTGTAAGTTTAGTTTAAGTTGAATTTAATGTATTTTTGTGTATACATGTCCACCATAGACTAACGTCTGTTGGAATGAATAAACGTATTATTATTATTATTATTATTATAAACGTATAATCTTTCGAAGAAGCGGGATTTTAATACTTCATTCTGAACGAGAAATTATAAATACGTTTGAACTTAAACAGCGCCAAAGTTTGATATCAAATAAGTAGGTATATCGATTTGTGGTGAAATGTAGCCCGAGTGTCTTAAATTAGAGTATGAAACATATCGAAATTTAGATTTCCATCGTTAACATGTGCTACTTACTGTTGTATCGGACGCCTTAAAATTCGTTCGATAACGCTACTTTGTATAATTTTTAACATTCCAGAACCATTGAACATCTGAAAGAATTACTAAAACCCTCCACTTAAAAATTAATCGTCTTTGCTTTGTAACCTCGTAACGACTCGCAGTGAAAATCACCTGGTGCATCATCAGCAATGCGAATATTACGAACTGGAAACAAGATTCTCTTTAATTAACATTTAATTTATTCTAAAATACTTTCAACACAAGCTCACGGTGGCGCTTGAACGAACTTTCCAAGGGTCTGTCCCCTTTCCTATTAATGTTTGAATCAATGGGAGTGTCTGTTGAATTTCTAATGCGTCGATGTCAGAAGCAAGGATAAGTAATAAAGTCCCAACGGAAAAAAAGCCGTCAGAATCTATTTTGTGGCCCATTAATTTTCCCCGGCAATCGATTAGTCCTAATATAAATAATAAAAGTCTTAGATATCTTCAAGAATCTTTCAATTACCCATAAATCATGCTCCCCGCATAATGTGACAGGTAAATGCTGTATTGTCATTGCACAAGCTTATGCTAATCGCGCAATTCACAATAGGAACGGGATTTGGAGACACCATTTGTCACCTGAGGAGCCTCATGGGCACCCCGCTTAGAAAGCCGGTTAATAATTCACGCATTTGCATAGAAACAGAAGTCGATTCGTCATCGATGGAGAGTTTTCGGAAGACGATTAATACTCGAGACACAGTTTAGCATTTTTCGTTATTTTGTAATTGAGCGCTTTTTTGTTCCCGCTTGATTACTCGGTGCACCTTGGGACGTCCGAACCACCTCTTCGTCGAATCCTAGACGTCCCGAATTCGCTCACGTCCCCGCCAGGAAAAAGCATGGTTAATTGCCTCGTCCTAGGCCATCGAGCGATGTATATGGTAAGCAGCGCCCATTGCGACAATCACAGACTTGGCTAATTAGCCCCATTAGCAGCGGCGAAGAACATGATTTCACGGAACCATTGCGCGGCAATCGTCGCAGCCGCCACGTCCAATCACTGTCCACCTTTAAATATCGTATGTGCTGGTATTTGCTGGTAATTAACAGGTGACTTTACTTCAAACGTACCAGCACGTCTTCTAGTGGCGTATCCAGGTACATTAGGGTTTTTGCCAGATATATGTATGCGTTATACATAATTATATACGTTATATATAATTTTTGTGTCCAAACATGAATTGAAAAAGTTTGATAAAATATGAAAAACATTCCTAATAAAATTCCCAGAATTATAGGTATAATTAGACCAAATGAGTTGCATACCAAACGCTCTACCACTGAAAAAATAAAAAAAATTCTATTTATCACTTTTAAAAAACGTAAATTCCATTTTGTTTGAAAGGAACAATTTGGTGTCACTGACGAAAAAACCAAAGGCAATATGAAGCAAATAGTATATTTACTTTATAGGTTTCATTGTGATAATTAACTGTTCATACTTTTTTCTGTTCAAGTAACTGAGATAATGAAGTGGAATAGGTAAATTAGGACACTCGGTATAAAATAGGGTAAAAGTATGGAACCGCTCAGACATCTCGAAGAACATTCGAATACTTTCACGACCATTTTAGATATTTTTTAGACATAATTTAGAATATAGGGGTTATCCTAAAAAATGTAAGTAGTTCAATTTCTCGATTTTTTAAATTTTCGATTTCTTGACATGTTGGTTTTACGATTTTTAAAATGTTTCGTCTTTTCAGTTTTTTGATTTTTCAAGTTTTCGATTTCTCAACATTTCAATTTTGAATTTTTTTTTAATTTTTCGTTTTTCTAGTTTTTCGCTTTTTAAAATTTTTTGATTTCCCGATTTCTCGATATTCCGATTTTGTCTAAATAACTTCGATAAATTAATTTTTTCACTGTGGGTTAAAAGTTAGAGATATTTTGCCAAATTTTTGACACGCAGTTTATGTAGGAAAGTTTTATCACATCAAAATCTTTAGTTTGTCGGTAAAGTGATTTAAAATTTATAAAATATGTTTATAAAACTTGAAAAACATTCCTTATAAGATTAGTAGAATTTTTTATTTGGAAATTTTGAACGAAAAATTTATTACTAAAATTTTACTTTGAGATCAACAAAAAAAAGATGTGTCTCTACTTTAGTAATCCCAGTTTATTCTGTTTTTAAATATACGGGTTATCCTGAAAAAAAAACATTAACGGAATCAAAATTTACGATTTATTAGCCCAAATCAGTTGTACACCACTGAAAAAATGAAAAAAAGTTTTGTTTAAAGCACTTACAAAACATAGTCCATTCTTTTTGAAAAAAAAAAGTTAATATCATCAGAGATGAATTTCGAGAATTAATAGAGAAAAATGAAAAATTAAGGCAATAAAAGACAACAACGAAGGAAGCTATAGTGGAGATGGATAGGAGAGTAGAAGATCTACAAAATGAAAAACTCCAAGAGCAAACTAAGAATGCAAGAAGGAGAAAAGATATTTATTCAAGATGACCTGACATTTATATATATAGACTTTATTAACGGACTTGGCCATTTTACAATATTTTACATATACCTAAATATAATGACTTAGTATATAATAAATATATATATGAATACACAATAACATTTCAATATACAATAACATTTCATAATCCTAAAACAGCTTTACATTTGTACTTGAAAGAATTAGAAGATACACCTACGAAATCTACGTGTGATAGAGAATTTACTAGTCTCGATAATCTGGTAGTACAGGAATTTTTCCCATAATTGGTTCTATGGTATGGTACATCTAAAAATCTTGTATTACGAACACA